TCAATCAATCAATCATTTAACTCACAATTCACATCATTGAACTCCTAATTGCACAAATTATTACACTCTATATTTTTGTAATAATTGTACCTCACTCATTGAAAATTATTGAACTTCAAAATTTCAAAATCAATGAACTATATTAAATCACCACTTCAATAGTAGACTCTTTAAACAAAACAAGCCACATTTATATTTTTATAAAATCTCACACAATTCAATTATCAAATATTAATCGATAAACAAATTAACATATAAAAGTACAAAATAAAATTTCTTTGATTATCTCAAAACTTTGAAAGATCAAATATTTTACCCCTCAAATACTCACTCTCAAAGCTTCCAAAAAGCTAGAATGGTGCCAATAAGGTTGCTTTACAAGCAATCACAATATAATTCATCAATATTCACATTTGGGTTAATTTTGACTAATAATTCAACACTTCTTAATGCTCTAGATTCATTATTGACTCATATAAAAGTACGCATAGGGTTTCTTAGCTTCCTTTAGTCTTCAATAATATCATTGAGCCCTCTAATAGTTATTAATGGGACCACATTGCCTTAACTAACACATATATGAGAATTTTTGGACAATTAATGCCCTTCAACTATCAATCATCATATCTCCATAAATATTGAGTTTCATTAACTCAATTTAGTCTCATTAATTCTATTTAAGTCAATGGGTTTAGACCCATAGCCTATATAGATCAAAAATTATTATTATCAATTAAACCCTAACTTTTACCATTGAGAAAATAGAAGAAGAGATAAGGATTTAAGGAAGCTTACCCTTAATATTTATGAGCTCCAAAATACTCCCAATATTCAGATTCTTTATGTCCTAATACTGCTCTCTCATTGCGCTCTTGTATTTCTTTGTTCTTCCTTTATTTTCTACTTTATTTCACAAATTTATGATAGTAGGAAAGTAACCATGCACCACGGTGCATGGCACAGAGAGCATCTCCCAAGTATGTTGCCATATATTTGTTGTGGCAGCTTATTCACAAGCTGAGGCATGTGGCATAGAATCTCCTCTTTTAGATTTCTTTCTCTTTTATTCTTGAATGACGTAATTCTCTTTTGAACCTGCATTTAAGGCTGAAATTAAAATAAAACATGCCCATTAGGCCTCTCTTGCCACACACCTTGCTAAAACACTCAATTAATCTAATTGGGCATAATTGGTCCAGTTTAAAATTGAGGATGCTAGGTGTGAGACTCACTATATATTCTCTCTAAGTTTTCTCTCTACAAATGGAGAGATTTTAGGAGGAAAATGTCCATTCTACACCCACCCTTCTGTTTATTTGTGCAGGAGGTTTTGCTTGATCATCTTCTACTCTCTATTTTTTGCCTTAGGATATCATCTCCCTAACTCACACTATATTTGCTATAATTATCATAAAAATAATTTAACGTTGATTCACATAATTTTTAATTATAAAAGTCTTTGACTTAAAAAGTAATGACCTTACATTGCTTTGTCTTGGTACTGTGCATGTCTTTATCTTCTATGTAAACTACATATTTTTATAGATGTGTGCCTTTCATAGTTTTATTTCATTATGTATACATAATTTATTTTCTATGTTCTCACTATCAAACCATGAGTTGAATTGAAATTTATTTATTTATTTTATTATATTTAATTTTTAAAAAATTTCCACTTTTTAATTTTGTAAATAAAAATAACATATTTTTACTAAATTGTTTGGTTTTAAAATATAATAACATGAAAGTATTTTCTACCAACTAATTTAATTTTAAATTATTTTGATGATGTTAATTTTTATATAATGTTTACTTTCAATATATTTATATATATATAATCACATTGAACACACACACACACACACACTGATATAAGGTTATCATAGTTATTATGACATTTGCTCTTTTTTTTTTTCCTTTCTTATTTTCTTTTGTCTATCTATACATAAGGAGTGATAATATTTTATTTTTAATTTTTTTGTCATTTTTTTTAAACTTTTTTTCCTATCCAAATGAAGGGTTAGATTTTTAGGTTAAGGGTCAATTTTGCTCTTGAAGTATACGTGAAAGGTAACAAATATCTCTAAACTCAACTTGGGGTCAATTCTGTCCTTCAACTTCAAAAATTCTGTATTTCTTCATCCTGCCATTTCTGCCGTTCTTTTTCCCTCCATTAGTAGGGCCTATAATTGAATTTTTAATATTTGTTATTATAAAATATTTAAATAGGTCTTACCAATCATTTTTTAATATTTTTTCCTTCTCTCTTACCTTTTTCCCTCTCTCCCTTTGCCTTTGAAAGCTCCTTCATCAACTATAGCTTTAGCACTGTCTCTATAACTTACACTATCAAAGATTTATGCAATGTTCAATTTCTAAAAGAATACACTTGATGTGGCAAAGGTGATGAAGGGAAACTATGATTCTTGCACTGTCCCTTCTTCTTCTTCTTTTTCACCAACTTCTCCTCTATCATCATTACTACCTTAATTGTCGCAGGGAATGAATCGTCCGGACAGGAGTCTTTGTTGAGGGTAGGATCGAGAAGGAGTCACCAAAGTTGTTGTTAATGGGAAGAGAGAGAGGAAATGAAGGGCAGAGAGGGAATGGAGAAACCATGCAAATTATCAAGGCTTATCAAAGATCTTGTATTAGGTCGGATGAGGATGAGGGAGATAGTTAACAGTGAAGATTGAAAGAGGATAGGAGATGCTTGACTTGCTGGTTTGCTCTACACAGCCACTTTCTCTCTCCTCCATTCACTTCGTTTTTCTTCTACTCCTTACTGAACCAGTTCTCTCCTTCTCTCTCGCGTTCATAACCAGTTTAAGGACTCAACTCATTAACTTTCATGCCGGTTCTAGAAGTTAACAATAATGCTGCCTCAATTCCCCTTTACGCTACTCTCAAGCATGTTATGCTGTTTTTCTCTCATCTCTAGTATTTCACTACATTGGCATCTTCTTGTCTTCGAGGAATGTGAAACATTGACTACCCCTTTATGCCACTCTCACGTGTGCTATGCTATGATTTCTTCCTTCAAAGTCATTTTTAAGAGTGTCGTAAGGAAGAAAATCACAGAGGAGTTCTCATGCGTTCCCTATATCATTAGGCTATTGAACTGTCTCCTCTTTACTTGGCATGGATTGCATGTTGTGAGCTGCAAATGGGAAAATTTCCCTCTGGTTATTGTTAATGGCATCGGGATAGCCTTTAAGCCATCTTATGTTCTTATCTACTTCTGGTATGCTTCATCTTCATGGGGTTTAGCCACTAAGGAACAAGATCATGGGACTGACTCTGATAGCCACGATGTCGGTGCCGCTATGTGCACAAGATTACTATAAGAGATAAGCATCACATATATCATGAAGAAGCTGCTTAATAACAAGAGATGAAGATGGAGACAGAGAGTATGTGTATCATAAAGAAGAAGAGATGGAGACGCGGTGAGAGATGAATGGATGAGAGGCGGAGAGATTTTTATATTATAAATATGTAATGGTGGAACCTACTATATAATATTTTATAATTAAAAATATTAAAAAAAATAAATGTGGAACCAAATAACAGAAAAAGCGTTCGACTTAATGCCAGGAGCATGGCTAGTAAATTTTTTGAGATTGAGGGATAAAATTAACCTCAAGTTGAATTTAGGGTCATTTATGATCTTTTCTGTACAATTGAGGAACAAAACTGACCCTTAACCCTATATTTTGTAATGCCAAACCAAATAAGACACATTATTTGATTGGTGCTAAAATTTCAATGACATGCTTATCATCCAGTGAAAACAAGACATATGGAGTGGGAGTTATGAGATATCATGCATGGACCAAGTATATTATGTTATAAATGTGTCTAATAAAAACATATCATGATACACTCATCGAATATCTTGTTATTTTTAATAATTTTATTTTGAAATAGAGTAATTTTTTAATTTTTTATCTTTTATTTTTATATTATCATTAATGATAAATTAATTTATATTTAATTATTTATAATCATATGATATAGCATAATTTTATTGGATAGAATATAAAAGACTTTATTTGTAGGGTCCATGCAAAATATTTTTTATTAAAAGAATGAGTACCATTTGCGTCTATTTACATCACACGTTTATATTTTCCCTTCAATAATATATATTTTTTAGCTGCAACAAGTTTTTAACATGGTTTTACTGTTCATGCAACATTTTATTATGGTAATCTATTTCAATATGAGAAAAAAATTTAAGAATCACAAGTGTGCGTATATTTTACAAGTTTAACGTATAAACTATTTGGTCAAAAAAAGGTATAAACTATTACAAATTTTAAAATTATTTGAGGACTGATTGATATTTAATAACACAAAAAAAAAAAAAATTGCCTGCCTAAACATCAATCTTTCTCATACTTTTCATAAGTTACATTCTTTTTTTTTAAATTCTTTTTATACAAGTTACTTTCTTTTAATTTTTATAATTTTCAACATAAAATTTTAACAAACCCTCTAGTAAACTAAAGATATAACATTTTAATTTTTAATTTTTTTATATTAAATTGTTCTCTTTTAAATGTAAAATAAAATTAAAAAATAATTTAATGTTAAAGTTAAAATATATTTTAATCCTTTAATTTTATATAAAGTTTTAATTTGATCCTTTATTATTATAAAATACCTTTTTAATTCTATAACTTTAATATTGTTAATTTTAAATAATTATTTTTATATTAATTATTGTCATTTTAAAAAAATAAATTTAATATATTAATATTTAATAATATTTTATTAATATTTAAAAATTTAATATAAAAATTATTAAAATAAAATTAATAATATTATAATTAAAAAATTTAAAAAATATTTTATAAAGTTAAAAAATTAAAATAAAATATTGTATTAAGTTAAAGGATAAAATATATAATATAATTTAATTTTAAAATAATGGAATGGGAGGATTATTTCGACCCACAACGAAAGTCGTGGTTGTAGTCCAACACCAAGGAAAATATTTTTCCAGATAAAGTGGGGAAAAGGGTTTTTCTTCTGCACAAGTACCCAAGTTGGCATCGATTTGTGTTGCAAGCCAGAAGCCGCGTAGAAACTGGAAAAGTGATACGGAAGACGAAAGGGGTATTAGGGTTTTGGGAATTAATGATGGATTTGGCGGCGCCGAAGAAAGAACTTGATCCCAACAATGCTACCAATGACACCAATAACAATAGTAACACTGTTAATCCTCAAGAAAACCCAGATTCGTCGCCTTCATTCGCGTCTGATAGTAACAATAACCCTGATAAAGGAGCTGAAGAACGCCAAGCTCGTGACCTTAAAGCCGGCCTTCATCCACTTAAGGTTTTTCTTCTCTCCCTCTCATACTTTCTGTTTGAATATTTGCTGTTTTTTTTTTCCCATCCCTGGAAATGACGTTGGAATTGGTCGAACTTCATTAATTTTGTTTAAGACGCGTAGCCGAGGTGTTCTGCTCTCTCAAGATATGTTCACCAGTTTTTAACTCTGGACCCTTACTCATTGTTCCTTTTACCTTTAGGTAGCTGTTCATAGATTTCTCTTGAAGTCTGCATTGATTGCTGATTTCACTTTCACTTGTTATATAGCTTTTTCTATAAATGTTTCTGTTTATTACAAATCCCTCTCTTTTCTTGTCTACCGGTATCTGTTGACTGGTTTTTCACTTCTTATATCATCAAATGTTGTATAGTCGATTCGACATTTTCATTTTGGTGCTTAAAATCTTACTTGTCTTTTCTCTCAAATGTATAAACCACCAGCCAAGTTATCTCCTTTGTGCGATTTCTCTTTCATTTTCATTTTGGTTTTTAATTTTATCTCTGGGTTCAAAATCTTTCAGGTTAATCTAAAGATTGGTTTTAATTCTAAAAGGAATGACAAAATATTAATGATTTTGTTCGATAGTTTCTCTACATTATAAGTGTATGTTGATGCTTTAGTTTATTTCTCTACGTGACATTCTCATTTATCTCTTGATGGCTTTTCCTCTGATTAGCACAAATTTGTATTTTGGTACACTCGCCGGACACCTGGAGTTCGAAATCAGACATCGTATGAGGACAACATAAAGAAAATTGCTGATTTCAGTACGGTGAGATTTGCTATATTGTTGGATCAGTAAACTGCGGCTGAATTCTCGCTTAATTGTTAGCTGCCATTCGTGGGACATTCTTTTGATTTGTTATAACTGTTATTTGTATGTAGGTTGAAGGATTTTGGGTCTGCTATTGCCATCTTTCTCGCCCTTCTTCTTTGCCAATTCCAACGGATCTGCACCTCTTTAAGGAAGGAATTCGCCCTTTGTGGGAGGTAGATCTTAAGAAGCTTTACCTTGGAGTTTCATTTTCAAATGATTGAAAATTTATTCTTCTCCCCTTTTTAGATGATTTGCTCCACTATCTGGCCAAAAATAATTTGCCCATCAGTGTAAATTTTCAATGAAAGCACTATTTTTCTTTTCAGGATTCTGCTAACTGCAATGGTGGAAAGTGGATTATACGATTCAAAAAGGTTGTGTCAGGTCGTTTTTGGGAGGACTTGGTAAGTAAAAGTCTTTTTGTCTGATAATTTCTTTCCTTCTTTTGCTGATAAACAATGATGGTTTGGCGTGGTGGTACTGTAGTTGTCTATAGGGTTGAGGAAGGATTTGAACTTAGATCTCAATCGAGGACAAGGTTAACAAAATACTGATGATTATGAGGACGATGACAACGACGACTTTTTAATTGATCCAAAATTTGAAGGAATTCAGATTTTATCATAGTTCTCTATTGCATGCTTCCTAAGTTCCCTCTCACATTTAAACCACTTCACTCTAAATGGTAGGCGCTCTGCTTGGATTTCAAAATCATTACTTTGAGTAATGCTTTCTAAGTTCTCACTAATGGGATACCTATTACTGGACCCATCTTTGCAAAATGATGTTCAATTCGCGCTTTACGCTAATTTTGTAAATCCTATGATAAAAGGGAAATGCCATTTAAAAAAAAAAAGCGATATGCTATTATCCTGATTGAATGCATTGTTCATATTGTTAATTCAAAATATTTTTAGTTTTTAGACCGTGGCCCCTGTCAAATGCATACATTTCAGTTCTCTGTATAATGTTTATGGTATACAGACCAACCCAATCCCTTTTGGAGTCTATCTTGCTTGGTGATATGTGATTCCAGGATTCTCATATTCAATTTGTATTTAATTTTGTCCTTGGACTCCAAGTCATTGACATAGTGCCATGTCTGTTTCAAGATTTCATTTGTTACTGGAGATTAAGTTTGTAATAGACTGATAATAGTATGTGGCTGTAAGTGCAGGTTCTTGCTTTGGTGGGTGACCAACTGGATTATGGAGACAACATATGTGGTGCAGTTCTAAGCATTCGTTTCAATGAGGATATATTGAGTGTCTGGAATCGCAATGCATCTGATCATCAGGTTGGCATTATCACTCTGATATGTGAACTTTTAACGCCAATATCTCCTGGAATAAGTGCTTGTCTCTAATAGTTTTTGGGGTTTTTCATGTCAGGCTGTAATGGCTCTGAGGGATTCAATTAAACGTCACTTAAAACTTCCTCATAGCTATGTCATGGAATACAAGCCTCATGATGCCTCCTTGCGAGACAATTCATCTTACAGAAACACTTGGTTGAGAGGATAGTGGGGATCTAAGTACAAGCCCGAAGCCTCGTAACATTTTGTCAAGGGCATGCTCCTGGTGCTTTTTTACACTGTCGTCACTGTCACTAGGTACTCATGGGCTACAGTTTCAGTTGATGATAGTTTTGGGTGCGTCAGTGCCGCTGTGTGTTTTGAATACAAGTGTATGAAAGCAACAATTGTCATTAACTGTACTGCAGAATTCGGTCCTCTGCTTTTCCTCTCTCTGTGTTTTCTGTGTTATACCCAGAGAAAATCTTACAGAAATTAAAAAGGAAAGGGAGAAAGTGGGAGCTCCTTGTTAGGTTCCAGAATGACTGAGATTTGCGAGCAATGGTGAGGCAGCAGAGAAAGTGCGTTAGAGGTTCTGGACTCTGTATTTCATCTGTAGTTATTTAGTTCATGACTGAGTCTTTCCATGTAAATAAATTGCAGAGGGTCTGCTTCATAGTATGTTTACGGTTGTGGGATGGAGTCATGGCTTTCGGTCGGCTGGTAAATTAATTTGTAGCGGATATTGATGGATCTTTGACCCTTGAAATGAATAGATTGCGTTAGTTTTCAAAACTCAAAAAGGGGGCAACAAAAAAAAGAAAAACCTGGGGATTTTTTCCTCCTGGGGCGGGGCTATTGGAACTCCTCATGTGAAAAAAGGGTGGATTTTAAACTTTTAAAGAGGAATGATGTTCTGTGCAGCTGTTTTAAATTTGATAGTTTTGTATGTCTTAGTTTAAAAATATTGTTCTAAATTGAATGCTAATTGGGTGGTAACTTTGTCAAAAATGGAAAGCCGTTAATGCCCGCTGCAATTTAAAAAAAAAAGGTGCAATGACCATTAAATTTTGGGAAGGAAGTACCTTCTAAAGAGGTTTTCAGGATTTATTCTTGGGATATTGGAACTCCTCACGTAAAAGAACAGGTAACTCGGGTGAAAAAAAGATGTTAAATAGTACAATAAAATTTGCTACTGTTAGTGTATGGCTGGAATTTTTAAACATACTTGCACTCTCTTGTTTTTATTATAGGATAATTTTTATAAAAATTTTTAGTTCTTAATGTAAAATATTTGATGTAATATTAATTATATTTATTAATATTATTTTTATTTAAATTTATTAACTCAAAAAAAATGTAATGTAAATTTAAAATTTTTTATTTAAATAAAAAGAAAATTAAAAATTTATTCGTTTTGAGATAAATTTAATGTCTTAACTACTTTTCTTCTATTGGTGTGATTAGATGCATCCATCTAATATAATAAAGATGAGAGGGAGTGTGTATATATATATATATATATATTTTTTTTTTGACAACCCTAGAGAGTATTCTGTATTCTATGATCATGTCAATATGCTATTTATCTTCACTTGGTGCCTTGGAGATACTCTTGGCAGGAAAAAATGTCAGACATTAACTGCACCCCCTTTTCCTTTCCTTCATCCATCAATGGATTCCAGACTTCAACCCCTCTTCCTTTCCTCTGTTCCCAAACGACAATGATCCCCACTCCCAATTGCTCCTCCCCATATCCCATGTGTTGTCTAACACCACTTGTTTATTTCTATTGCTACCTCGAAACTCTTACCCAATAATGATACATATCCCCATGCTATTTTTGTAAAAAATAAAATTTATTTTGAAATTTCTGATGAGCAAGAGTTGGTTGAAACTGACTTTATATCTCCGTCTAATCCAGATCTAATAAATGAATGATGATAGCCTCACTCCAATTTGGCACGTGGCATACGTAGGGGACGACCCATGGTGTGATCAGTATTGAACCAGTGTTGAGAATTGAGATATTTCAGGAACGAAGATAAGGTCCATAAGTATGACGACGACTTATGTGGCTCGCTGGCGTGACAATGATTTAAGCACTCTCATATGCTTTAAAGTTTTCAAAAAGCTAGAAACGACAAAATTTAGGCATTGACACTAATTTTAAGCCCTAGTTGCAACTGATTTCCCTAATTCATAAAAACTCCTTCAAATTCCCCTCAACCACCACTATGCTTGTTAGTTATTGGTGTTATTCTATTATTGTTGTTGAGGTCTAATAATGTCGAGTGGAATTAAATTACCGAAACTTTCCTTACCATTGTGTCCTGCCCTTCTACTTTCAGAAATAGAATGTTACAGCACAAGCTACAACGGACAAGATTAAGCAGTTCAGACATAGAATGAATGTCACAAAGCTTCCAGGTTTTATTGTTCATGCTCTAGAGTGAAATCTAGCTCTTAAGTCTCAAATTTCAACAGGTCTGTGAAAAAGCCTCAGAATCATTATGATCTATATCTCTCCCATCCTTCACTTATCTCTGGAAGGGGTAATATTAAATAGAATTGATAATTTAGACCAGTCAGTTCAATAAACTAGAACTTATAAAAATTTATGTAGTCAAGATCGGCTTAAATATTTTTAAGCTTCAAACTTATTTAGTCTGGCATGAATTTTTTAAAAAAATCATTTTAAAAATAATTATAATTTGTATTTTAAAATTAATTACGTTATTATAATCAAAAAAATATAAAATATGCTTTTTGTAATATTTAAAAATGTAGAAGACTCAATTTTTTTTTAAAAAAATTGTAGGTCTTAAATTTTAAAAATTAAGATTCAAATATATTTTAAATATCTTTGTAAATATATTTTATAAGTTTAAAATAATAAAAATAAAAACAATATTAATATTTTAATTTATTTAAAAAATATTTATATTAATGTATTCAAATATATAATCTCTTTTTGACCAAAAAAAAAATATAATCTCTTAACATTTAATATTATATATATATATATTTAAAAAAATTAAAATACTATTCAAGTATTTGGATTTTGGAACTAAGTCCAAACTTGGGCTTCACCAAAGTTTTTAAGTTAAAAATATAATATTATTAAGCTCGTTCTTACTTGTTTTTTTGAATTTATTTAAATTTGGCTTGAATTACTAATTTTTCAAATATTGAGTGGGTGTATTATTTTATAAATTATTTCTGAAAGATTGAAATATAATATATATATATATATATATATCAACAAAAAAAAACAAAGATTAGAAAGGTAGCAGCCGAAAAAAAAGAAAAAAAAAAAAGAAAGCTTTACTCGACTTCCAAAATGGATCAAAATAAAAATCACAAAAAGTTGGCGCCAAGCCTTGGACCCACTTTAATTTGTAATTTTTCGCCGTTCATTAATTATTAAGTAAGGGATTGAATTGACGGTTAGAGATTGGGCTTTTCTATTTTCCTTTTTCTCTTTGCTATTTATTTATCATCGTGACCATTGGCCATCAGGCCTCGACTCGCTGTGAACGTCAAAGAAGGAAAAAAAGGAGGTCTCCCTCTCCCTCCCTCTCTCTCTCTCTCTCTCTGGTTTACTCTGCCATTCATATTTTTCCAGTTATATATATATATATATATATATATATTGTAACAGAGGGAAAAAAGAGAGCTACGAAAGAGGGGGAAGGATGAGAGAAATAATAAGTATTCATATTGGTCAAGCTGGAATTCAGGTGGGGAATTCATGCTGGGAGCTTTATTGCCTTGAGCATCAAATTCAGCCTGACGGCTTGATGCCCAGGTATATTTCTTTTTGTTTTCATTTTGTTTGTGGGACGTTATGCGCCTAAATGCTTCTCTAGCGATTGGAATTCTCGTACTGTTTTACATGATCAGAGTCTTTTACTTCCGTAGAAATACGTTCTTCTGGTTAATTTTGGATGTCATCTTTTTTTTTTTTTTTTTAGCTCTGGTGTTTAATTTTCTAGTATATTTCGTTTTTATTTTCTTTGTGGTTCCCAAAACATTAAAACCTCAACGAATCAAATTTTTGAACTTGATCTTGCTTTAATTATCGAATTTAGTTCTTCATTTTGACGGTTACCCCGTAAAATAACGTATCTCGCTCATCTTTGTTTCTTAATTATTAAGTTTTCTGATCCTCCTGTATTCGTTTTATCTCTCTATGATAATTTCTGTGGAGTAACATACTAATGCATATCAAGCAATTGACGCTGGTTTTTTTTTTTTTTAAAACCATATTTCAACTCTGTGATTTCGCTTCCCATAACTTGTTGTTTCTAATTATGACGGTGTTTCACGGTATTGGTATTATTTACCGAAGTGCTTCTTGAATTGAGATACATACGTTAAAAAAAAAAAAAGGATTTGGAATTATTCCTATCTTAACGATTATGAATTTACTTTTGAAGCGAACACTATTGTTCCTATTCATGAACTGAAAAGAAAATTACTAGGTCCCTCATTTCATGGGTAAAAGAGCAGAAGGAATGTAACGGAAATAAGTAAAAGAATTCTCATTTGTAAACTTCTTCTGTTTCCTATTATCACGGGAATATAAATCTTGTCATTGATTTGTAGCTTCAGTTAGCTAAAATAAGTGGACTGTTGGTGAGATCTTAGATTACAATGCAATTTGGGGGATCGAGTGGTTTCATCCTTTAAATTTTGATTACCTTGAAGAATAGAACCTTATTTTTAACGTACCGTGGTATTGTTTTTCCCTCTCTTCTTGGCCAAACAATGTTCATTTACCTACTTGCAGTGATTCCTCCGTTGGCGTCGGAGATGATGCTTTTAACACTTTCTTCAGTGAGACTGGATCTGGCAAACATGTGCCAAGGGCTGTATTTGTTGATCTGGAACCTACTGTTATTGATGAAGTGAGGTCCGGTCCTTACAGGCAACTCTTTCATCCTGAGCAACTGATTTCTGGCAAGGAAGATGCTGCTAATAACTTTGCTAGGGGACATTACACTGGTAGCTCGATTTCTAACCCAGCCTTACCCAGGTCTAAATTTTCTATTACCTTGTTTGACTGAACAGTGCCACTTATTGGCTTATCTGTGCTGCAGTTGGAAGGGAAGTTGTTGACCTATGCCTTGATCGTGTGAGGAAATTAGCAGACAATTGCACTGGTTTGCAAGGGTTCTTAGTTTTCAATGCTGTTGGTGGTGGCACTGGTTCTGGTTTGGGATCATTGATCTTGGAACGATTATCTGTAGATTATGGGAAGAAGTCAAAACTTGGCTTTACCATTTATCCTTCTCCTCAGGTGCTTGCTTAAAATCCTTAGCAAATAAGAATAGAAGAATATAATTTCTTTGTGGAGCATCAAATACTGCTTAACAACTTAACATTTCACCCTGTGCTTACTGACCTTTTTAATTCATAGCATAATCTTTTAATAATTACATTTCTTCCTTGCCTAGGGAAATTCTGAAGGAGACTTCAGAGATATATTAGAGGATATCCTGATAGCAAAAATTTCATTTACACACACACACACACGCTGTAAGGAAATAATATTGGTATCTAGAAGGTTAAACTTATTCAAGCAGTTTTCCCATTATTGCCTTATCTTTAATGAGTGACTTCTTAGAAAACTTGATGCATGTTTTATGCTTTCTTATGTATTTGTTACTTGTTATTTGTGATTGTGTCATTATGCTTTAATAGTTGATGCATAATGTGGATTGTCCTAACAGTACCACTATAACTATTGTAAATGCAGATATCTACTGCAGTCGTTGAACCTTACAACAGTGTCCTTTCCACTCATTCTCTTCTTGAGCACACTGATGTGGTTGTGCTTTTGGACAATGAAGCTATATATGACATCTGTAGAAGATCATTAGACATAGAGAGGCCAA